CTGCTTGTTGGCCGCGCCCGGGCGGAAAAGGCTTGGGTGCAAGCAAACGCAGGTGTTCAATGACGTGTATTCGCGCATCCTCAGATCCTGCGCGATTGCCCTCGTCGCGAGGCAGTTGCCTTCAGGACGCGCCCGGCGTCGGGGCTGGTAGTCCTGTGCATTTTCGCGCATCCCCTCATTTCCCTCTTCCCACTTCCTCTTCCACCGCTACCTGGCCGCAAGGCCGGCTTGAGTAAATCTTGAAAGTCGGCACATTACCTCAGTCGCGAGGCAAATGCCTCAAGGACGCAGCCGGCGGCAAGGCCGGTAGTCCTGCACACCCATACGTGCCTCCCTCATCCCCTTTCCTCCCTCCATCATCCGCCGCCCCCTGGCGGCGAAACCGGGCCACGTGCATCCTCAGATCCTGCGGGACGGCCCTTGTCGCGAGGCTGTTGCCTCAAGGACGCACCCGGCGGCAAGGCCGGTAGTCCTGCACAGTCGTGTGCCCCTCTGACTCCCCCACCCCCCACCCCCTTCCCATATTTCCCCCGGCGAGTTTGTGAAGTTGCACAGCGCCTGCCTAAAATTTTACCACTGCGCCGAGCTGGCGCCAGACTCGACCGACATAAGACGCTCCTTGGCGGCCAGACCGGGTGGCGTGCATCGTCAGATTCTGCGCGCAAGCCGCTGTCACGAGGCAATCGCCTCCAGAACGCACCTGGCGGCAAGGCCGGTAGTCCTGCGCACTTTTTCGAATCCGCCCATCCTTCCACCCCCCTTCCATCCTCCGGCACTCCCTGGCGGCACGCTGGCCCTTGTCGCGAGGCAAATGCATCAAGGACGCGCCCGGCGGAAAGGCAGGTGAGCCTGCGCACTCTTACGCGTTTCCTCATCCCCCCGTCGACGGCTGCACCCGGCGACGGCTGGTAGTCCTGCACACACATACGCCAGCAGGTGAGCCTGCGCCGCTGCCTCAAGGACGCACCCGGCGACGGCTGGTAGTCCTGCACACACATACGCCTCACCTCATGTCTCTTCACCCCTCCATTTTCCGCCAGTCCCTGGCGTCCCTGCCTTTTCCCTTCCTCTCTGTTTCCTCCTATTTCGTCCCTTCCCATCATCCTGCTACACCTCCAGCTGCCGCTGTTCCCTGGCGGCAAATGCCTTGGGCCCTTCCTCGGGGGCTTAGTCCGAGCCAGATGCCCGGGGCACGCGTCGAGCCTAATTCCAAGCACCAGTTCAGGGGGTTCGATCCGAGCAGGAACCGCAATGAAAGTCTGAGCTCAAGTTCCACTCCACATGTTTCGTAAACGCGGCCCTCGCAGTAGAAGCAAAATTGGGCAGACTCGAGTCCAGCAATAGCTTTGTCAACCCTGCTGCCCAGCACCTCGAGACCCTGCCGCAATCTCAATGTCTACGGCACGGCATCATCGGGGAACCTCATTTCATCTATCCTTTTGCACAGGTGCGAGACTGGCAGTCACTGACTCGCCTCTGTCGGCTCTCGTTACGGTCATTGCTCCATCCGTAGCCTGAGCCCCCCGCTCGAAGGAGGGGGGGAACTCTGTTAACATCTCTGTCTCCCTCACGTCCGCAGGAATGGGCGTCTGAGCTGGCCAGGGCATTGCCTGAACCCCCCGCTCGAAGGAGGGGGGGCACTGACCGATTCTAAAATATTTTAGAATAAGTCCACACCCGAGCAAATAATAACGGATGGGCCGGCACGCCCTTCCAAGCCGAGTGCGGCCTCCAGCACCATTTTGGCTGTGGCCATTGGTGCTGGATTTGCTCGGCCTTTTGCCCGCTCCCGCCCTGGCAAAATCAGGAAAGCTAGGAGGAGCGCCGAGATACTCACCTCGGTAAGGGCAGACGGTTGCCTGTCGGAGGGGCCCTCGCGGCGGCGGGAGGTCTGCAGTCGCTGGGGGGCTCGTCGCATTCCCCAGGCCGATCCCCGACATCAACAGCTACGCTCCGGAAAAGGAGTCACAGGGTTATGCCTACCCTTAAGGGCATCTGCACTACACTACAGTCCGTCTCCTCCTCCTTCCCCCCTCCAACTTATGGTGGTGGTTGTGGTGGAAAACAGGCCCAACACTTTCGTATTGAAGTCTCGCCCGGCCGCACGAATGGAGCGCGGATCATTCTCGAAATGCGAGTCTCCCCCGAGCGCCGCGCGCGTGCGTCTCAGAGGTTTCCAGCACTTCTACGTTTGGCGCGACGCTCTCGTTAACGATGTGGCTCCTGTCTTAGCGCCAAGCACATTCGCCTGAACACTTTTCACGGATGGGCCGCAGGTAGTTTTCAGAACGTGGTTCACGTCTTAGTGCGGCACGCCTTTCTTGCGACTTCGTCCCGATGTTCTCTTGTGGTTATGTGTTTTTCCTCTTCCTCTCCATGTTCATTTTCCTCCAGGTTCTTACTTTCTTTCAGTTGTTCCTGATGTACAACTCGTGAGGGGGGTAAACAGTTACAACACGTTCACGGATGGCGTTTTCGAAATGGTGGTCTCGCCGTTCCCCCGCGCACACTCCTCAAATAGATTGCATTCGCTTCACGGTTTGAGGACTCCTCTTCAGAATGGGACAATCGCCTAAGCGCCGCGCGCACTCGTATCCCTTTCGCATGTTTGTGCTCTGGTCCTCCTCTTGGGGATCCCAAAACCGTGCGGTGACAGACCGTGCGGTAACCTCGGAACCCCAAGGGACCTCACCGTACGGTCCGTAACCGCACGGTTTTGGGACCCTGGAGGCTCCAATCGCCCGAGACACCCTTTGAGAGGGACTTGAGTCCCAAACCCGTGCGGTGACCCCGAATCCCCACCGACTCATCACACGGTGCGGTCACCGCACCGTTTGGGGGCCCCCGATCCTCTGCTGAGCAGGGACCGACCGTCCCGGCATCCCTACAGGACTACCACGAAACGTTCCCAGAGCCCAAACATGTTCCAACAACAAAAACAGTGTTCGTAGAACACGAAGCCGATGTGTTAACACAAGGCAGCCCCAACCAGATATGATCTAAGAACATTTCGTGCAAAGCCCAGTGTTTTCTTAGATCTTAGAACTGTCTTTGGTGGGGACATAAGAAAGCCAGGACGCCTCGCCACTGCTTGACTACTTCTCCTCCTCTACCCTCCTCTCTCGTCGTGCTCCCCCTGCCGCGAGCTACCCGCACATGGGGGCGGGGGGGATGCCTGTAAACGTAGCACGGCGCGCCGGCGAGGGAGTACCCATTCGAGCATTTTCAGTGAGCACCCTCGCGGACACCCCCAAAGGTCAGGGCGCGTTGACGACACCCGCACATCCCACACCCGCAATAATGCCTTCGCTGTTGCCTGGTCCTGTTCGGCAACTCTGCTCTCCCAATGTTCTTGTCTCTCCCAGCTCATCCCGCTGCCTTTCACACACGTAGGGACTAGCAAGGCTCAGGCAGATCGGTCCCTACCCAGCGGACCCATCTCTCCCTGCCTGACAGACGTTGAGCTGCGTGGGGTGGGCATTCCCCAGTATGATGATTGACATGGCTGTGTGTGGAGGAGGCTACCCCAGCCCGCCTCTTGACAGTGCTGTGGGCAAGAGTCTTACCCAATCTGTCTCTTGGTATGGCTGTGGGGTCTGAGCCTCTCTCAGCCTGCGTGGGGCTGTGGGGCTCATATGGCATCGACGGCTGTGGGGGTCATATGAGTGTATGGTGGATGAGCCTGCATTCCGCAGTCCGCCTATGTTGGAAAATGATTGCCTCGTGGCGAGATCGGGACATCTGGGGCACAAGCTGCATTGCAGACGGCCCTCTGATCACGCATTGGCACATTGGACACAACCCAAGTGAGACAGATGACGTACTGATTCCAGTCAGCCTCTTGATCCGGGTGTGTGGGTTAGCCTTCCCCAGCCTGCCTACTGATGTGGGTGTGTGGGAGTGTGCCTTCCTCAATGTGCCATGACTCTGTTTGGGGAGCCTCCTCTAGTCCGCCTCTGATTATGGCCAGGGGGCCGGCGAACATTCAGCCAGACTGCCTCTTGGTATGGCCGTGTTTGGGCGGATCGTCCCAAATCTATCTCTCGCTATGGCTGGGTGGCGGTGGGCTTCCGCAGTCTGCCTGCTGGTATGTCTATCTGAGGATGGTGGTGTGGGAGGCCGTTTCGTGCGCGTATGCTGTCCCAGGGTGGTCCAAGATGCTCCTCGATGGTTTGCGCAGAGAAAAGATGCACGCGTCCGAACGATGCGAAACATACGGCGTTGTTGGGGTGAACTGTCCCAAACTACGTCTCGACAAGAGAGTGCGGTGCTGAGCCGTCAACCGTCTGCCTCTTAATGTGGCTGTGTGGGTGAGCCGTCTGCAGTCAGCCTCCTGTTGCGGCTTTGTGTGGGTGGGGGAGCAGTCCCCAGTCTATCCCTTGGATTGGCTTTGTGGGGGTGTGCCTTCCCCAGCCTGCCTCTTCGCATGCCTGTGGGGGGGAGCCTTCCCCTGTCAGCCCGCTGGTATGACTTTGCGGGGGGTCAGGCTTCCCAAGTCGGCCTCTTTTGCTGTGTGGCTCTATCGGTGCGAGCTTGCCCAAACCTGCCACTTGTAATGGCTGTGAGGGAATGGGGGTTCCTCAATCGTCCTGTTGATGCAACCGGTTCAAGGAGAGCCGTCTCCAGTCTGCGGCTTGATGAGCGTGTCTGCGGGAGTGCACAATTCTCGGTCTGCCTCTCGATGTGGCTCTGCGGCCGCGAGCCTTCCGACACTTGCCTCATGACATGGGTGTGTGGAGGAGGAGGAGGAGGAGGAGGAGGAGGAGGAGGAGGAGGAGGAGAAGGAGGGGCAGGAGGAGGCGGAGGAGGAGAGGGAGGAGGAGGACGCGGAGGGGGAGGAGGAGCAGGAGGAGGAGGAAGAGGAGGAGGCGGAGGGGGACGAGGAATGGGAGGAGGAGGAGGAGAATGAGGAGGACGAGGAATGAGTCCCCCCTCCTACCGCTGCCTCCGACCACCCTCTCCTCCAGCCTCCCATCCAAGACGGCCCAGTCCAGCGCTGCCTCGCTCGCCTGGCGGCTGGCGAACTCCTCCTGGCTGTCGTCCGCTCCTGCGCCGTCGTCACCCTCGTCCCCGTTGCCGTCGTCAAGGATCGAGGACTGTTTCATTATCGTCGGCCTCGTCGTCGTAGTCGTCATCGTCGCCGCTGTCGTCTTCATCGTCGGCGTCGTCGTCGTCGCCGTTGTCGCCGTCGTCGACGTCAGCGTCGTCGTCGTTTTCGGAGATCGAGGGCGCCGTCGTCGAAGATCAAAAACGTCGTCAATGACCGACGGCCTTACCGAGTTGGGTCGCCGTCCCTGCCGCGGCCGCGCCGCTGCCGTCGCGCACTGGCATCTTAAAGGCTCCCTCTCCCCCTCCTCCTCATTATGCTTCCCCTTGCTGTTACCCCTCCTCCCCCCCCAGCTCCCTCCTCCTCCTACCTCTGTTCCGCCACTGTTCCTTCTCCTACTCCCCTTCTCTTATAACCTATGCGTACTTCTCCTCCTCCTCCTCCTCCTTCTCGTCCTCCTCCTTCTCCTCCCCCTCTTCCTCCTCCCCCTCCTCCCCCTCTTCCACCTCACGCCAACTCCCTCGTCCCCCTCCTCCGCACCGGCTCTTGGCAAGTTTCCCAGCTCATCTCGGGCGGCCCCGAGAACGCGGGCTGGCCGCGACAGCACAAGGCAGGCGGCCATGCGAATCTGCATGCTGCTGTGCGTCCCGCGCGAAAAGAATACTACAGCGTACTCGCGGTAGACCGCTGGACAGACATCAGCACCACCACAGGCAACCAGACATCGGCAGCGCAAAAAAGAAACGACTTCTCAAAGGCGGCTGGCCATCTCGGAAGCCCGCTGAGAAGCCGTAAGAACCATTCAGGAGGCAGGAAGCCAATAAGCCTTCTGTGCCTTGTGACAGTACCCAGCCTCGCTGACTTCCCCTCTGGTTTCGCCGCCAGATCGGTGTGCAGACGGAAGTTCTTTCCTTAAGGGCTGAACGCCCCAACATGCCGGATGGGGAAGCAGACTGTGCAAGTCCATCCAACAAAAAAGACTACAGACGATCCACGACCCACTGGCCAGCTCAATTGGGTACCATCGACAAGCCATCCATCGCACCCCGATCCTCGATCGCACCTCCACCTCCCCAGTGGCCCAGAGGAGCACGTGCCGCCCATGGGCCCGAATTGGGCCTACTCATCTCGAACCCACGCCAGGCAATGCAGAGCAACGCCCAGCAGTGCAGCACCATGCTATACAACGCGCAGCAGCTCAAAGTAACGCAGAGCAGTGTGAATCGTGGCGGTGCAACGCCCACGGTTCCAATACAGTGAAAACTAAACCCAAGCGACGCCGATCACTACAGGGCAACGCAGTGCAATGCCCAGCAATTCGCTTCAGGTTTTCTCGGCGCGTTTTCCTGCCCACCTCCCCACTGTGCTTTCGATTTGCGGCCACAAAAAAAGAAAGGATATCCCCTGAAGCGAAGACCACTACAGCTAATATCGTCCCCCCCGCAACGCCATCCTTATTCAGTATTCGTACTCCGAAATCTGCCCGCCACCCACCCCTCTGGACAGCAAACAAATACTCGTCGTAGCCACTTCTGCCGGGCTAAACAACTGCGACTGCCTGCGACTCCTTATACGACACGCAAGTGTGATGTCCCCCTGAGGCGTAGAGCACGACGGGAAATATCGCCCCCCCCCCCGCCGCACCGGCAACGACATGTGGCACACACAATCCGACATGCTTCCCCTGTGCTCGTCCTGTATGAAGGGTGGAAAACTGGTGGCCTCAACAACAAGGGCAATAACAAACGAACGAACGAAATCAGCCATCGCAGGGAGGCCCGGCGTCCCTGCAAGGGAGGCAGCCGCGCCTGCAGCAAGCAGGCCTTCGACGAAGGCCACTGAAGTGGACTTGAAAAAAGGAAGGCCCCCCTCAGCGCCACGCGTGGTCTGTAACATGCTGCTCGCTCTCCTGCCACATTGGCTGATTCGATGCTGCGACCGCCACGGGGTCCGAGCCAGCATGTCTTGCGTACGATACAAGCCCACCTTCCCATCTGCTGCCCCGGCCAGGAGCGAATTGGGCACCTGACGTATCCCCTCGATTGCTCTTCCCACCGCCCGTGGTCCCTCCATTGGTCATTCGTTTGGCCCCCCGTTCAACTGGCAGACATGGGATCTCCCCAATCCATCTCTACTCCGCCTTCGAATTGAGAGCCAACCCAGCATGTCACTCTTGCCTTCCGTGCTCTGTCTTCCGCGACACGCATCGCACTCCGATCCCAAGACGCATACTTGTCTTCCTGGCGTATGGCAGGCCCACACATGCGTCTAAGCATGCACCGCCGCGTGTTTGTGAATGTGCGTTTCTGTCTCGCTGTGAGATCCCATGTTTCGCTACACCACCGAACTGTCTTGGACACGGTCGCGGCGACAAACTACAACCTTGTTGATTTGGAATTGTCTTTCTTCCTTTAATGAAATCTCTTGACAAGCTAGAAAATGTTGCCGATCCAAGCCGTAATCTCGGTGTCCCCTCGATTGCTGTTCTCACCACCAGTGGTCCCTCCATTGAGGCAATCCTTTGGACCGCCGATTAGATGGGGCACATACGATCTCCCCAGCCAGTGTCCATTTTGCCTTCGAATTAGGTTCGACCCACTGCGCAACCCCCGCATGCTGTGCTTTATCTTCCGCGACACGCGTCGCTTTCTGGACCCATGACACATGCCCTTCGTCGGGGCGCCTGGAAGGCCCAACCATCCGTCCAAGCAGGCACCGCCGCCGCGCGCTTCTCAATCTGCCTTTTCTGCTCATTGTGAAATCCCATGCTTCGCTAGGCCATCGAGCTGGCTTGTTCTCGGTCCCGCCGAGAAGCTGCAATCTAATTGGTTCATATATACACGGTTTCATGACAGTCGTTGACCGACTGAAGGAGTTTGCCCATCCAAACCGTAATCTTGAATCGAACTCGAATTGGCTACCCCAGTCGTCCCGCTGATTGCTCTTCCGACCAACTGTGGCCACCCCATTGGGTCAGTCATTCTAGGTGGGATACAGACTATCTCCCATTCGTTGTGGTTGTAGACCCGATGCTGCAAAACCAAGGACAAAGCTTACCAATGGATGCTCAAACTCTTCGAATGTTATCTTCTTGATTGCTGGTGCAAATGTTCCAACACATTGGATGCTGGTTGCCCAGCGTTCAAGTTCACGAATTTCTGCAAGCTCGTCCCGGATTAACGCACATGTGCGTGGATGCTTGCCCTGATTGTGGCACCAACGTAGTCCTATCTGCCAGCATAGCGTGAGCCAGAAGGTCTTTTTCGCAGAAGGTGTTGCCGATGATGCGTCCGTACCCTTCAGCTGCCTAGTAGTTGTGTTCACTGTGCTCGCAAATAATGGCAACGGCGTTGGCTCCCCTTGCTGAACGCACAAGAGAACGTCGAAATATGTGCTTCGCGTGTTTGTGTATAGCTGGATGTACGCCCGCTGGCCACGGTACAACTCCTCCTTCCCCGCAATAGCTGCGGGCCAACGCAGCTGCATGCATGATCTCGTCAGAATCCTTTTTCCAATGCTATGGATGAAGCTCAGGCTGTCCACCCCGCGCAAGACTTCTCTCCCCAACCATGCGCATACAACGCACTGGGTTACAGCATCCAAAACGCGTGCGAAGCTCAAATTCTTCGGGTGTTGCAGGACTGTCCACGGTATGCCCCGTCCGCCTCAAGAGTACGCTGCTGTAGACATGAATCAGACACAGAATGAGTGCGATCAGCCTGTAGTTCTTTGGGGGAGTTGCTTCGCCTTTGCATGAACAAGACAGCGATGAACGAAGTACGCCACTAACCTGGGGCCCGAGACACGCCAATCAACAGGTCGGCAAACGTGTCCCTAATGTTTATATCATGCCGCCCCCCGCACTCTTTCAACAATTCCGCCACAATACAATCTTCAGCACTTGTGTTGTTCCGGGTCAGTCGGGATACGCACCAACCCAAATCGTCTTCTATATCGTCTGCTGGTATATGTGTGCGTCGTCAGGCTGCCTGCGGCTCCTCCAGCGGACCATGACATAAGACGTGCAAAATGAAGCGAACATCTCTGCTATGTCATCCCTTCTTGACTGTATTCGGTCGCTGGCATCCTGGAGTGCTCGCCATGGAACTCCCTTATCGTCGGCCGCCATTGGAGTCTAGGTAACTTGTTGGTAGGACCTTTGATGATCAACTTGTCCGACTGCTCGTTGTGTTTTTTAGCATCTGGTTCCGTCTGGCCCTGTTCAAGCTGAGCGCCTCCTCTTTCCTGTCATCTTTGGTAGCCAATGGCCAATGGCTTAACATGCTGATCCGTCTCCTTGTTCTTCTCCCGCCCTCCCGGTACTACGGCGCATTCGGAAGCAGCTTGAAAAAGCGCCTCCGTCACTGCTGCTATATCCTTCGGGCTCTCGCGCAAAGCCTTCAACTGAGCAAGACAATATGCCTCCTTGCTGGTCGTCATTCTCACCCCTCTTCCCGTTTTCACTGGCTTCCATCGTTGCTAATTGTTCTGTCTACCCCCTAACTTCTTCCATATGGCCCCGTGGTCTGTCGTCTGCATCGAGTCCGAAATCACATCTGTATTCCGTAGCGTGTAAAGAGTTGGCGTGTAGATCGGTTAAGACAAGGGTGGAGGGCGCTTCCTTGGTGGACTCCTGCGGGGGAGCCCCATGGTGGGAACTGCTGGGTTCCGATCTTACTCGGATGCTCTTTGAATCCTATCATAATCCGATTGGGAACCTACTGGATTCACGTTGCTGCCCATTTGGGCGCTCATCGGAATCAGATTCGGGTCTTGCTGGGATCCTATCCGGGTCTTGGTAAGATCCCGCATTGAGGGGCCCGGGGGCGAGACATCGCTTCCAAGGGCAAGAAGCAATATACTTGTTCCGAGAAAGGGAGTGGGGGTCGTTTTCTGCTTCCAGCGTTTTTGTATGCTCATCTTTGGCCCTCAATGACAACTCTGTCCTGTCGTGGGACACTCATCACCACCATGACCTCGCTTGCAGGTCTGCGCTGCATGGGCAAGACAAATATGTCAAGACTGGGGAAAAGGGCAACTCTGCTCGCAATCAACCCTGCACCCCCTTCGAGGTCGAGACTGATCAAATGTTCAAACCGTGTCCGACCGTGGAGGCGAGGAGGCCCCTTTCTGCGCCCCTTCTGATGGCTGGAGCCGGAGCTGGGCCACCTTAGACCCTCCACTGCCTCCCAAAGGCGACCGACATTGGACTATCCTGCGATCCGTGGACCCTCCCAGGAACGCCCAAACGACTCCTGCGCACGAAGCACACATGGGGCGGCTCCAAAGGCGCCACTCGGGGGCGCACGGGCGGAGGGAAATCACCTCGTGGCTCCAACTTGTCGTGACCTCCCGCTCCTCCGATCGCTGCCGAGGCGCGGCGGCGTCTGTAGAAAGAACAAAAACGCCATAGACATAAACTTTTGGCGATCCGCGCGGACTTCTTGAATGTGCGCTGCACCCCCCTCCCTGACGCGCAGAGCGCGCCGAGGGCGGCGCCAGAGGCGCCGCTGGGGGGGCCCATGCGCCGATCCAAGAAGCCCGCGCGGAGTGCCAAAAGTCGATGTGTATGGCGTTCTTTTCCTTCTTCGACCCATGCTCCTCCGATCGCTGCCGAGGCGCGCCGGCGTCTGGAGGCGCCCGCGCAGTCGGCGCCGGGGCGGCCGCCGCGTCCTGGCGGGCCCGCGCGCTCGGCCTCCGCCTCTTCGCAGCTGCCGGCGGACGCGATCTGCGAGGGGCCTCGCGGCGGAAAGGCCGGCGAAGGTCTTGGGAGGCGCAGAGGTGTGCGTCAGCACCCGCTTCGCGCCGCCTGCCCCGCCGAGGGGAGCTGCTATCGATCTCGGCGACGGCGGCACTGGCTAGGCCGCCAAGAGGTTGCCACCAACTCCCAAACCCATGATCGTCTTGTCCCAGTGAAGACCAGAAGGGCCCAGAATCGAGTCAAGAAGTAGGATGGGCCATCGACATGGATCGGATGGGTGGAAATCGGCAACCAAGTCGAGAAACATCGGATCGGAGGGAATCGGCAGGCCGTAAGGCCTCCGTTGAGGAATCGGAAATCATATCGGAATCCGAAGTCGAATCGAATCGGAATCGGAGCCATCGAAATCGAAACAAATCGGATGGGAGGAACGGAAAAGAGCCCTGAGAGGTCAGGCGTCTAAGGATGCCCGGATCGCGCCGAACGGCTGGCGGAGGGCCAAGGTATGGCCCGAAACTGCCCAGTCGAGGCAACAGCGTACTTCTTCGCGCACGTGTCCTTTCTTTGGACCTCCTGGAGGCCTCTCGTCACCATGGCTCGATCCGCCTCGAGACTGGCAGTTGGTTGGATAGCCGCCGTTGTCTCGATTGGCACTTCTCGGAGTACCTCTGGCAGGATACTTCTTTCAATCCTGGCACCTTCCAGCCAAAAAACAGCCTCCAGGAGCCTGTCTCAGTTCCCTGCGGGCCCTCACATCAACATCCGAGGCGGAAAACTAGCCCATGCGGAAGAAGTCGAAACATTACTAGGGGGTCCTGGATTAGAGATGGGGCTGGTGACAATGAGGATGGGGAAGGCAAGTGTTTTTCATTCAAATCGGTGTTTTGACAATCCGCCGGGCCAAATCCGGCATCTGGAGGCAAACAACAGCGAAAACTGGCCGCCTTGTCTTGTTGTGAGGTGCCACATGTCAGGGTCGCTCGACAACAATGTCGGCCCTCAAAGCGTCCAAAAACCTTGGAACTCCGTATGTGTTCCTCCTTCTCCCCTGGGCACGGGGGAGTGGAGTCCAGGTAGAAACGGGTGGGGCACCCCCAAGGCATTCCCCACAAGGCCTGTTTCGACAGGCCCCAGGAGACAGAAAAACGGCGACGCCTCTCCAGGACTCCTTGCCTTCACTCTGCTACATGCCCTCCTCGTCCTCCCCCTCCACATGCTCCTGCTCCTGCTTATCTCCAAGGTATCTCCTCCTCCTGCTCCCAGCCATCTCCACCTCCTCCTCCTCATCCTGCTCCCTGCCGTCTCATCCTCCTCCTCCTTCTCCTCGTGATCCTCCTGCTCATGCTCCTGATCCTGATCCTGCTCCTGCTGGTCCTCCTCCTCCTCCTCCTCCTCCGACCCTTTCCATCGACGAAGACATCGATCCTCCTCCTCACCCTCCTCCTCCTGCTTCTCCTCCGACCCTTTCCGTCCAAGAAGACATCGACCCTCCTCCTCCTCCTCCTCGTCCTCCTCCCCCTCCTCCTCCGCCTCTTCCTCCCCACCCCGTCTCCTCCGACGACGACCGCGACGGCGACGACGTCCACGATCTCGACGACCTCGACGCCGCCGGCCCCGCGACGCCCTCCCCAAGACGACGCGTTCGACGCGGGGCGGCCCGCGGCGCCTGGCGGGTCGTCCTGTCCCGACTGCTGCCGCGGCCGCTCCCCCTCGGCGCCCTCCGCAGCCGCCTTCGGCCTGGCCTCGGCGCGCCAGCGCGGCGCGAGCATCGGCCAGGGAATGGCGAGGGCCTCGAGCATGGGGAGCACCGAGAGCCTCGAGGACGGGACCTGCCGCCATCGGATCGGGAGGTCGGGGCGAACTTGAGGGAACGTCGGGTGGGCCCAGCGGCCTGCGTTGGCACGGAACCGACATGGAGTAGGATCGGCCGCGTCAAGATGCACAACAACGCCGCGCACGCGTCGGGCCGCATCGGATCGACGGAACACCCCGGAATCGCTTCGGATCGGGCTGGTCAAAAACGACATTGATTTGCATCGATCGTCTCAGAATGGAGCCTGGAGAATCGTCGGAGGAGATGCAGAGGCCACCGCAACTGAAGTCTCGTCGCGGAGGAACTCGATGATCCTCAGAGCGTCGCCGATGAATCGCCGATGCATCGCCGACGTCCCCCAGCCATCGGCGACGTTTGCGTGGATAAACTCGGGTTCCACATGGAGCCGCATTGCCGATGTTGCGCCATCCTGGTCCCATCTACTTTGAGCCCATCTGGGAGGCCTGGAGCATTGGCTCACCCGCATGAGCGCACCGACCACCGTCAACAACCACCCCGACTCTGGAGGCCTCCAGGCCTCTTGAAGTCGGGGATCGACTGACCCAGGCCAATCCAAGCCCGGGTCGGTCGGGCCTTGCACGCTCCTGCAAGACCCTGCAACATCCTGCAAGATCCTGCACCCCGGGTCAGTGCGCCGCTGGCCCTCCAGGACCCTGGAAAAACCGGCTGGCCCACGTTTGCATCGTCTCCCGTGTCAAGGCTCCTGATGGAGGTCTCCCACGGCCCTGCCGGCGGGGTCATCATCGCGCCGTCGACTGTTTCGCGGTGTTTGTCCTCACCCTCTCGGGCGTCGCCCTGGATACGTGGTGCGTCCTCTCCCGCGGTCACTTGAAGCTGGTGTACATGAAGCGCCGCTGACGGCACCACCACCACAGCATTTCGCTTTTCTGGTACTTCGCCTCCGGGTTCCTGTACAATGCGTTCCTTTGCATGCACACCGCCTTCGGCACCGCCTGACTCCGGGGCTTTGCCCTCTCTTGGCCTTGGCGTGAAGCCCCTCCTTCTGCCTTCCCCTCTCTGTCAATTAAAGCTGTGCGCGGCCCGCTTAGGTTCGACCGGAAGAGGCTCGCTCTCGACCCGCGAATCAAAAAGTGTTTCGCGGTGCTTAGGCAGGTTGCAGGCCCAGCGAAGCCGAAAAATACCCAAGACCTCGAACCGGTTGAGTTTCGATCCTCGGTCGACATAAAAGAGACCCCACAGTTGGGTTCGGCAGTAGCGACTACAGGCGGTCCGCCGCCATATCGGGCGAAGAAACTCAAACTCAAAAGAAATCGAAAATTCTCTACGCCCAAACCTGTGGAAATCACAAACTCTAAAAAACTTCCAGCAAACTCTAAGCCAAAACCGGCGAAACAAAACTCAAACCCGAATACAAACTTCAAGAATTCTTGAAGACAGAACCCGCGGAAATCTCAAACTCAAAGAGATGCGCTTAAAACATATCTAAAGCAATGCCTGCGGAAATCTCAAAGTCTGAAAAGAAGAAACTACAATACAACTCTGAGTCGAAACCTGGGGAGATCTGACCCAAAAAAAACTTGAAACCGGAACCCAAAACAAACTCTGAAACAACAGTCTCAAAAACTATGCAAAACTATAACAATACTCTACACGCCTAAGAACAAAATCGAAGCATAGAACACATCGAACAACACTTGCTTAAGAAGTCTACATAATAAATACAATTATGACTGCCAAGCGAACTCCAACACAACTCTGGGACAACCTTTTTTAAGAAAAAATCGAACTCCAGCTTCACTTGTTTGGTTTTGTTTCGAGTTTTTGGTTGTCGCAAATGTTGGTATTGAAGTTGTGTTGCGATTTTGGGGGATCGAGATTTCCCCAGGCTTCAGCTGATAGGTTTGTTTATGATTGTTTGTTTGTTTGAGATGTTCGCAGGTCTTGGCTTCGAGATGCATTGAAGTTCCCTAGAGTTCGAGGTTCCCGCAAGTTTTGGCTTGGAATTTGTTTGAAGCTGTTGGGGGGGAGCTTCCTGCCGCAGATGTTCCGAAGATTTCGGTTGGTTTTATCGATGGACCTCCTGCGGTACAACTGCCGAACATAACCCAAGAGATATCCAAAAAGGTTCCAAGAGACCTCCTAGAAAACACTTCCAAGGCGGTTGCTTGTCGCCGCATGCTATTTCCCTGATCAAGCCAACTCGCGTGGCGAACTGTTTCGTGGGCTGGTGGGGATACGTTTTGATCGCGAGCGCAAGCGGAAAAGGCCGCGCGCCGTCCAGAGCTACAGCTAACCAGCAGGAGCCAAAATTGCACACGAGAGAGAAATGATAAGAGAGACAACAGGAGAACAGCGGGAAGGGAGACAAACTGGGGCGGGCCGCGCGGCGCTCGCGAAGGTGGTGCCATCGGCGGCTGCAGCCGCCGGGGGTGCACGCCAGTGCACGCCAAAATGGCGGGCAATTGGCTGGCAGCGCGGTGTCCCGCGACCGCGGCGAGGGGCAGACCCCGGGAGACAGAGGGCCGCAAGCACCCGTGCTTGTACGGGGGGCAGCACGCGGGGGGCTGAGCGCGGCGAGGGCTATGCATCCCTGCAAGGGGACCAAGCCTTCAGGTGCGTCGAAGCCCATGGTGGCGACGGCGGAACGAGCGAGCGGCGACGACCGAACAATAGTGCGCGCCGTGGGACAGGCACGCCGTAAGCAGACTGAATCTGCCAGCCGCGCGTCGACACCAGTGAACAAGCCAGCTGGCATGCAGGCGCTCGACGGACGGGGGTCCGGATCGCCAGGACTGGCGTGACGACGGAGGTGTCGGATCCCGCTCGGAAACCAGAAGGGAACGCCACCGGCGCGGTAGGGGCGAACCGAGAGGCCGGCGGACCCCAGGCGAGCGTCGGAAGGCCGCCGCAAGCCAAGAGCCGCGGCGGGGGGACGGGCCGTGGCGGCGAGCAGGCCGCAGAGAGCGGGCAAGCGACCAGTAGTGACGGACCGCGCCCGCAGTGCTGCGGGAGGGAAAGAGAGGAGCCCAGGCGGATCCTTTGCGCGGAGTAGAGGCCGCTGGGCGGGGACGCCGTGTCGAAGGGGGCCACGGCAATGAAAGGGCTCCGACGCGCCTTGTGCCCCGAAGCCAGAGGCGGGGGCAGGGGCGTCGAAGGTGCCCCATGCGGCCCACGCGGGGCGCGGGGCAGGGCGGGTGGCCTGGCGCCAGGGAGCGGGGAACCACGCGCTAGACCGGCGGCGAACACCGCACCGGTGGGCAAAGAACCGGCGGGGCCAGGCGCGAACCGTCAGCCCCAGCCGGGGCGCGCGCCTGACAGTATTGGGCACGAAGCCAAGGCGGCCCCTGGGGGGGCCGCGGGGAGGGCCGGCGGGGGGGCCGGCGGGCAACGGCGGGGCGGGAAGAGGGCGAGGGCGACGCCCCAGCCCACGCGCCGCAGAGCACGGACGCGACCCGCGCTCGCGGGAGTGCGTGAGGAGGGGGGGGATGCGCGCAGAGCGCGGGAGGCCAGCAGGAGAGCCGGCGCCAAAAGGGGGGGCGACAAGGGTCGCGAGCATGGGCAGCAGACCCAGGGGGGATTGCACGGCGGGGCCTCAGAGTTGCGGGGGGCGGCCTGGAGCATTTGGCGCGGCGCGCCTGACTAACAGGGAGCGCCCATGGGAACCTCGATGCCGAGTGAGGGGGGCAGTGCTGGAGGCCGCGGCGCTGAGCGAACCTGCGGTGGACGACGACGCCGCGAGCACGGCCGAGGCCGAAAACAGCGACGTGCCGTTGGAGCAGCGGCGCCTCTGGTAGGCAACGCCGTGGGCGATGCCGTCGGAGCAGCCGTTAATGCAGATGTCGGAGAACCTGTGGGCGAGGCCGTAGGGGCAGCTGTAGGGGCAGGCGTCGGTGAGGCCGTCGCTGACGGCGCAGGCGAAGCCGTCGGCGCTGCTGTAGGCGATGCCGTGGGCGATGCCGTCGGAGCAAACGCTGGCGCAGCTGTCGGTGAAGCTGTGGGAGCAGGTGTCGGCGTGGCCGTCGGCGACAGCGTCGGCGAAGCCGTCGGCGCTGCCGTCGGCGATGCCGCGGGCGATGCCGTCGGAGCAGCCGTTGGTGCAGCTGTTGGTGAAGCTGTGGGCCAGGCCCTAGGCGCAGCCGCGGGGGCAGGTGTGGGGGCGGCCGTCGGCGCTGGTGTCGGGGAGGCCGTGGGGGCTGCTTTTGGCGCTACAATCGGCGCGGCCGTCGGTGACGCCGTTGGCGAAGCCGTCGGGGCCGGCGTCGGCGAAGCTGTAGGCGGTGGAGCTGTGAGCGAGGCCGTAGGCACGGCTGTAGGAGCAACTGTCGGTGCGGCAGTGGGGGCTGCTGCGGGCGCTGCTGTCGGAGCTGCAGTCGGCGCGGCCGTCGGTGACGCAGTAGGCGCAACCGTCGGGTCTGCCGTGGGCGTTGCTGCGGGTGCTGCCGTCGGGGCAGCCGTTGGTGCAGCTGTCGGTGAAGCTGCGGGGGCAGGTGTCGGTGAGGCCGTGGGCGACGGCGCAGGCGAAGCCGTCGGTGCTGCTGTAGGCGATGCCGTCGGGGCAGCCGTTGGTGCAGCTGTCGGTGAAGCTGTGGGAGCAGGTGTCGGTGAGGCCGTCGGTGACGGCGTAGGCGAAGCCGTCGGCACTGCTGTAGGCGACGCCGTGGGCGGTGCCGTCGGAACATCCGCTGGTGCAGCTGTCGGTGAATCGGTGAGGCCGTCGGTGACGGCGTAGGCGAAGCCGTCGGCGCTGTAGCTTAACTCACACCCTTGTCCCGGACCGTCACTGGCGCAAGATGCCGATACCTCATCACGTTGTCGTCGGCGTCTCCAGGGGGGGCTACCGGCCACAACAACTTGGGTAAAATGGTCGCCGAAGTCGAGTCGGGTTGTCTCGTCGTCGACGCCTCCAGGGGGCGGCAACGACCACAAACACTGGCGTAGACAAGTCGCAAAAGTACTGGCCCGAATCCGGCGCCAACCCAGAGACATGCTCCTTCTCCAGCTCAGGCCACGGCACCCGCACCTGCACGCAGACGCCTTCCCAAGAACGCCACCTCCAGCTCCAGCTCCAGCCCCCGCGTCGTCGTCGTCGTCGTCGTCGTCGCCGTCCGCCTTCCCAGGGGCGGCCGAGGCCGTCGCTCGTCGGTCGTACTCGTCGGACGGCGTCGCCAGTGGCGCAGCTAACGGCAGCAACTACTGGTGTACATGGCACGACCAGGGGCGCAGCTAACGGCTGCAAGAACTGGTGTAAATGGAACGACGGTCGGCGGTCGCACTCGTCAGTCGGCATCGCCGGGGGCGGAATTTACCGCTGCGGTGGCCGCCGGTGCGGCGCCCGCCCCCCAGGGCCCCGCAGGCGGCTGCTGCTGCTCCAGGGCCAGGGAACGGCTGAATTCGCACCAGGCTGAACTCGCACCTGGCTGACCTGGCACCCGAACGGCCCAGACGGACTCGCACCAGCTGAACTCGCACCCGGCCGAACACGCACCAGCTGAGCTCACGCCCGACAGAACTCGCACCAGCTGAACTCACACCCTTGTCCCAGGGGTGGCTTCTGCTGCACCAGGGTGGGTCCTGCTGTCGCTGCTGCTGCGCCTGGTAGGCACCTGGTGGCGCCCAGACCCCCCAGGGGCGCGGACAGGACTGATGAGCAAAGGCAATTGCTGCTGTTGCTGCCGTTGACTCGCACTAGCTGACCCGCAAACGGCTGAACTCACACCCGACAAAAATCGCACCAGCGGAACTCACAAACTTGCCCCAGGGGTGGCCCCTGTTGCGCCAGGGTGGATCCAGGGGCAGCTGCTGAAGCTGTTGCGCCAGGTGCCGGGGCCGCTGCCGCTGTTGCTGCGCCTGGTAGACACCTGGTGGCGCCCAAACCTCCCAGGGGCGCGGACAGAACTGATGAGCAGGGGCGATTGCTGCTGCTGCCGCTAACACGCACCAGCTGAACTCGCACCTGGCTGAATTCACACCCGACAGAACTCGCACCAGCTGGCCTCGCACCCTTGCCCCACGGGTGGTTTCTGCTGCACCTGGGGGGTTCAGGGGCAGCTGCTGAAGCTGTTGCGCCAAGTGCGGGGGCTGCTGCCGCTCTTGCTGCGCCTGGTATGCACCTGAACCCACGCCCTTGTCCCAGTGGTGGCTTCTGCTGCATTAGGGGGCCCAGGGGCAGCTGCTGAAGCTGTTGCGCCAAGTGCGGGGGGGTGCTGCCGCCGCTGTGGCGCATGACACGCACCCGGTGGCGCCCAGACCTCCCAGGGGCGCGGACAGGAGTGATGAGGAGGGGCGATTGGTGCTGCAGCCGTCGACACGCACCAGCTGAGCACGCACCTGGCAGAACTCGTTTCCGACTCCCGACATAACTCGCACCAGCTGAACTCACACCTTTATCCCAGGAGGGGGTTCTGCTGCACCAGGGGAGGTCCAGGGCCAGCTGTTGAAGCTGTAACGCCAGGTGCGGGGATTTGTGGCGTTGCTGCTGCGCCTGGTGTGCACCTGCCGGCGCCCAGATTTCCCAGGGGCGCGGACAGGAGTGATGAGTACCGTTGACTCGCTCCAGCTGACCTCGCACCTGGCTGACCCTACACAGGACAAAACTCGCACCAGCTGAACTCACACCAATGTTCCGCCCCGTCACTGACGCAAGATACCTCAACACGTTGTCGTCGGCGTCTCCAGAGGGGGTGCCTAACGGCCACAAGCACTGGTGTGGATAAGCGCAGAGGTCGAATCGTGTCGTCTCGTCGTCGTCGACGCTTCCAGGGGGGTGCCTAACGGCCACCAGCACTGGTGTAAAATATTCGCCGATGTCGAATCGTGTCGTCTCGCCGTCGTCGTCCCCAGGGGTGTGGCTGACGGCCACAAGCACTGGTTTGGCAGTCGTCGTGGTCGTTGTCGCGGTCGGAATCGCAATTTGACCAAGGAACTTCACTTCCAAGGGTGAAGCTAACGGCTGCAAATACTGGTGTGAAATGCCTGACCAACCGTCGACTGGGGTAAGCTGATCAGGGGGAACGATCCGCCAGGGGACTGCTGCTGCTGTTGCCGCACCTGCTGTTGCAGCCCCCGCAGCTGCTCAATACGAGAGGGGGGCAACATGGTGTTTCTGCTGTTGCAGCGCCTGCTGCTGCTGTTGTTGTTCCTGTTCCTGCCCCATCTCCACGAACTTGTCCACCCTCCGCATGTCGTCGTCGTCCGCCTCCCCAAAGGGGTCCGAGGTCGTCGTTCTCCGGACAAGGGGGGTGGCTAACGGCCACAAGCGCTGGTGTAAAATACTCGCCGAGTCGTGCCGCCTCGTCGTCGTCGACGCCTCCACGGGGGTGGTTAACGGCAGCAAGCACTGATGTAAAAGAGCCGCCGATGTACTGCCCCGACCCCGGGGCTTGTGGGGATACCTGTTTGATCGCGACCGCGGCGAAAAGGTCGGGCGGCGTCCTTGGCCGGTGCAGACTAGCAAGAGGAAGGGCGAAAAGAGGAAGGGCGAAAAAAGGAAAGACCAAGCGAGAGGGAGGCAAACAGGAGGCGGGCTTCGCTGCCGCTCACAGGAGGGCGCGCACCAAGGCTGGTGGGGATACGCGAAGTCAAAGCATCCGATCCCTGGTCGATCGACGACGGCAACGCACCACGCCATCTGCTGAAGGCGAAATCCCTTGGCCCCTCCCGGGGTCCTCCTTGGCCGGCTTCCCGTTCCAGATCTACTTCCGTCCGCCCTGTGGCCCGACAAGAGCCCCCCCGAAGACGAAACGGCGAATGGCCTCCACCAAGATCCGACGTCACGAGAACATTGCAAAATCACCACCAGAGCCCCACAACCCACCTTTTTGCGATCCGCGAAGGTCCTGGGCCCCGAATGCGTGCGAAAACACCTGTTGTGGAATTCACTGCGACGCCCATACCTCAATCGGCGGGGGGTAGTTGAGACAACTGTGGCCCTCCAACCTGGCTAACATCCTCCCGAAATCAGGCCCCGGGATCCTCCCAGAGTCCACCATTTCCCGCCTCTCGAGGAGTTCAGCCGTGCCGACGAGGACGCCTCCAGGAGGTCCACCAAGGACGAAACATGTAGAGGAATGCCGCCGTTGTCTTCGGCCACAACTGGGGCCTCCAACGGCGGCCAATCGGGACGATCCGGGCACCCCTGGTCGAAGATCGGCGAGGCGCAGCTGCTCGAAGGTATGCCGAGGCCGGGGAACCTCCAGGAAGCAAGGGAAGCGTCCGAAGACTTACGATGGAGGGCCGCCGTTGTGTCGGCTGTGGGTCATCGTCTTCGGGACCTCTTGGAGGTTTAGAATCTAGAGGTTGGCACCAGCTACAAGACTGGGGGTGTCTCCACGGGGCAGGAGGATCCTGTGTTTTGGTGTTGGAGGTTCGGTTGGGGCTGGAAAGATAGCGTGCAACATCAATCTCTAGACAACCACGCAACCCCTGTGAGGCGATCCCTCCGCGAGGGCCCCTTGTGTTTGAGGCCCCCCCCTGCCGGGGCTTCTTTGGTGCACGCCGTCCCAAAGGCGGGGGGACAGCGTGCAGCTTGCGGGCCGATGGCACCACATTGCACGCTATCATTCCACCCCCAGCCGTGAGCGCTTGGCCGCCTACAACAACCCGAACAACGCTTGAGCGACGATCAAAAACGGGTCTTACGCGAGATGCCATAGCGACATTACGCGGCGGCTTGCGCGGGCCGCCGGCGCGGCACGCTGCATTGGAGACGAGGGCGCTTACGCGCGACCGTACGCGGGCAGCTTACGCGTCAGTGTCGGCGCAGACAACCCCTTGTTTTGCGTTGCTCATTTGGAGAAACCCAAAGGTACCGATACGGCTACTCCCCAGACCTCTCCAGGGGCGCGTTCTGACCAGCATTTCGAGGCGAATCCACTGGTGGCGACGAGGGCCTCCCAGGAGGCCCCCCACAAGGAGAAAGCGGGGAAGGGTAGCAGTATGGGTAGGTTGTCCTCCTCCGACGAACAGCACCACATGCCGTCGGTGGACCTCCCTATGCGGCCGCGAAAGGTGTGTGGAGTGTGCTTAAGTCGATCCGAGTACGCATGCGACCCAAGTCACTGAGGCCGTCGACGGAGCTCCCTATGAGGCCACGGAGCGCGTGAGTGCTGTGCCAAACTGAGCGCCGAAACGGTGATGATAATGATGATGGCGGTAACGAGTCTGCAGATGGATGATGCTGAAAACGATGATAGAGATGTTGTTGATGATGATGACGCTGCTGATGATGATGATCAGCATGATGATGCTGGTGATCATGATGATGCTGATGATGATGATGATGATGATACTGATTATGATGATGATGATGATGATGATGATGATGACGTTGAACATGTTGTTGTTGATGATGCCGATGGTGATGGAGATAAACACGATGATGAGGATGACGATGATGCAAACATACTGATGATGTAGGTGGTGAGAATGAGGATAACATAACAATTAACAATGAGGATGATGGCGATCATGATTATTTTCATCACGATGGTATCATCATCATCAGCATCATCAGTATCATCACCATCATGATCATGATCATCATCAGCACCATCATCATCATCATCATCATCATCATTATCATCATCATGGTCATCATCATCATCATCATCATCATCATCAGCATCAGCATCAGCATCAGCATCAGCATCATCATCACCATCGCCAAAATTGCAGAGTCGACTTCCGAGGGAGGGCTGCCGTTGTCTCGACTGGCCCCCCTTGCCTCGGACCTCGAGCGGCGGCGGCGGCCCAGCGGCGCGGGCGCCTCGGGTCCCTCCTGCCCAGGCTGCTCGACAGCGTCCTCGCGATCGGTGTCCCAGGCGGCCCTGCGGGGGGGGAGGAGGAGGAGGAGGAGGAGGAGGAGGAGGAGGAGGAGGAGGAGGAGGAGGAGGAGGAGGAGGAGGAGGAGGAGGAGGAGGAGGAGGAGGAAAAGGAGGAGGAGGAGGAGGAGGAAGAGGAGGAGGAGGAGGAGGAGGAGGACGAGGAGGGGTTTGGCGTTTTCGGTTTCTGTTCGGGCCCTGGCCCCCGGTACATCGGCTCTCAGCATAGGGTGAGGTGGGCAGGCGTCTTAGAAGGGGCGTGCTTCTCAGACGGCGCCGGCCTCACATCCACAGAGAATGCCCGCGCCTTTTAAAAAACAGTGGTGCTTTTACGAAACGCTCCACCCTCCCCCGTGTCCCCCCTCTACGCGTGGCTGAAAGATGGAGGCGAGGAGGAGGGATGAGGGGGATGAATACTGGAGGGGAGAAGAATGACGAGGGGAGGCGGAGGGGTGGAAGGGAGGAGGGGGGATAACCAGGAAATGTCAAGGAGCCCTCGGCTGCGACTGGTGCCGCAATGCTTAAAATCACATACTACGATCTGCAGACAGCAGAACGGCGGTACGATCAGCAGACAGCAGATCGGCGATCCGCTTATCCGCCCTGCAGGTGGGGGTCACATTGGCCAAACGGCCGCACAGGGAGGAGGGAGAAAAGGGGAGGAGGAGGCAGAAGGACGACAGAGGAGGGAGGAGGGAGGGAGGAAAGAGAGAGGAGGAGTGAGGGAGGAGGGGGGGAGGAAGGAGGGGGAGTGACAGAAGAGGAAACAGGATTTTGGACGAGAAGAAAAGCACTCAAACATTAACCAAACAACAAATATTCAACAAATCGTCCCCGCACTATGTTTGTCCATGTTTGGGTATTCCTCCTGTGGAAGGACAGGCCAGACTCAGCGCTACCTTGTACCTTCCCGGGCAGGCTTGGAGCGGCCGTGCGGAAACCCCAGGAAAGGGCGGAAGTTACGCGGATGCGTGGGGGAAACGTGTGTTGGGGCTCTTTTTCCTCCAACGCAACTCGAACAAAAGGGCTTGCGGGCATGTTATGAATTTATGGCGTCTGAATCACTCGAGATCCCGAACACACCGCCTAGCCGAGCGGGGAGCGGGTGGTGGGCCCGCTCCTCCTCGGACACCCCCTCGGGGTCACCACTCCCTTCAGGGTTTTAGAATCAAAGTGAAATTAAACCCCGCCTCGCCTCGACGAGTAGGCGCGGAGGTCTAGGCTCGCGCCTGCAGCGCATCTAAACAATACACAGCTCAAGGCCCTACTCGGACCACACCGCCTGTTCACGCGGCCCCAAAGGCTGGCAACTGGGGTTGGTCGTCCACCAGGTATACTTGACCTGGCTCTGGGTGGCAACCGTCCTTCTGCGGTCGCCCTTCTTAGTCTTGGTCTTCACTGCTGGCTCACTCGACCCCTCGATCGGAGCGCGACTTGACCTCCCGCCGTCGCCGCCGCGCGGCAGGGCACCGCACCAGCTCGGCCTAACACACGGACAGAACCAGCAAATCAAGGAAAACCCCAGCAAAGCAAGCAGGAGCCCTAGGCTCACGCCCGCCATCAGCACAGTCAGGCTCAAGTAGTAGCCCTCAGCCGCGACTCCCAGCGTGGTCACTAGAGTCAGCGTGCTCTCGTCCATCTCCCGCGGCGCCTCGCGCAGCTCGGTCGAGGTTCCCTGCGCCGCTGTGGGGAGCGACGCGGCCACTGCAAGCAACACCTTCAGCAGGTTCGAAGGGGCCTGGAAGTCGGTCGGCATGGCCCCGAGCCCCGACCCCAGCGACCCGGAAGGCCCCCGGCACGGGCACCTCCTTCAACCCGCAGCTCTCGCGGAGCCGCTCGAGGCGTGCCCTCGGCAACACCTGCGCCCAGATCCGCCAGGTTGTTCTCGCCGCCTACAGGCTCGATGGTGATGACCTTCTTGGCCACCAACTGCTGAATCCAGTGCGTCTTGGTGGCAAGGTGCTTGATCCGCCCAGTGCCTTGACGCCTCGCCAGCGCTCTCGCACTCGAGCTCTCGCGTCGCCAGAACACGCGCACGCTGTAGCCCATGGGCGCAAAGAGCGCCCTCAGCCCACGCCCCTCGCTGAGGCCTCGAGCTCCAGCGCGCCACTCGGCTTCGCAGCTGCTAAGGGACTGCGCGTCTTGGCGACAGCTGATCCCGAGCATCGGGCACCCACGCGCAGCGATGTGCGCGCTGGACAGGCTCTTCCGCTCCTTCGCGTCGCCTGCCCAGTCGGAGTCTGTCCACGCGACAAGGTCGACGACGTCCTGCGGCGTGGTGGGCTTGGCCATCCTCACGCCCAGGTCCCTCGTGCCCTTCAGGTACCCTGCCAGCCTCTTGGGGCTCGCATGTCCGCCTCGCAGGGCGATGAGATGCACGAGGTCAGGTATTCGATGTCGAACTGAGCATGTTCGCGGTCGTGCAGGTAGAACAGCAGGCACATGGTCACGCTCCTGAACACCTTGGCAGCATCTGGGCTGAGGTCGGGCGTGTCACCCCTGGCCTCCAGCGCCATCGCGAGGTACTTCACGGCGGGTAGCGCCGGCCTCTCTCACGCGCCGCTTCGCGAGAAACTCGCAGTCGGCACCGTCGCCCTGTGGGTCTGACCACTCCACCTCGATGTCACGACCTAGGTCCAGCACGAAACCGCGCCCTGCAACTCTAGGCGCTGCGCCGTGCACGTCGTCCATGTGCAGCTCCACCAGACACGGGGGCTCGGCGCGCCAGAAGAACTGGGGCGCGGTCGGTGACCGCTCGAAACCCCTGGCCACGTGCTGCTTCGCGGCAAACTCGACCCAGTGCTTCCCTCCAGCGCGCCGCCCTGGCAGCTGCTTCGCGAGCTGCCAAATGTAGTTTCGGCGTCGCCCTTCGCGCGGCACTCTTCCAGGGCTTCGGGTGGGCACTCGACCCGCGCGTCCTCCTCCGCGGAGACATGGTAGCACGCGTCCTCCTCGTCAACAGTGAAGGTGGGCCATCCGTGCTCCAGGGCCACGTGGTCCACCACTCGGCTGTCGGCCATGCTGCTCCCTGGCGTAGGTCGTCGCGGTACTCCTGCCACTTGAACTCTCGCGCGACGCACCTTGACTTAGCGACCCTTCATCAGAGGTTTGCTCCCCACGTGTAGACATGGCCCCAGCGAGCGCTGATCCACTTGCCGGCGGCCTCGCTCCGCTCGACGAGCTTGCCCACCCCGTGCCGTTTCAGGCCGTCGAGGGCCCGTGGGGCGGAAGCCTCTATCAACTGCGAGCCCGACGCGCCATGGGGATCTGGGACATCCATGTCCCTGAGGATATGCAGGAAGTCTGGCCGAATGTCATCACAGCGCTCAGCTGCTACTCCGCTAACTCGGGACCTCGCAAGGGTGCCCTGGTTGTCGCCCCCCTTCCGTGGGTCGCTTCGGCGATGGACCCATCGGGGGCGTCAGCGGAGGCACGCTCGCTGGCGCTGCAGCCCTCGGCGTCATGGGGGCGTCGTCCGCAACGCCTCCCCCGGCCGACGTCTGCGTCGCTGGCCCCGCCTGCATGTCCCCAGCAGGCGCCTCGGCGCCGCCCGACGCATCGGCCGAAGGCGCCGCCGTGGGCGCGCCCGTCTGAGATGCTGGCCAGCCGCCGTGGGCGGCCCCAGTGGACTGGGCAGCAGCGCTCGGGTCTGGCCGCGCCTCCGCCGCCTCTTGCGCCGCCAGGTCGGCGCCCGCAGCGGCAGGGGGTGTAACAATCGGCGCGATCCCGCGCGGGGCCGTGCCCTGCCCTCGGCGCTGCCATGGCATGCTCGTAATCGCCGCCATGGCGGCGCGGTTGAGCCTCCGCTCTTCGGGCAGCCTCTTGACGGCGCTCGTCGTGACCAGCCGCCCGTCTCGAGGGCGCATCTGTGCTCGTCGGTGTCGTAGCTCTTCCCTAGCCAGACTGCCCTCGCGAAGCCCATATCACCCTTGCGGTGCACCTTGCCACTCGCCCTGCGATTCTTGCCCCCGGTTAGGCGCGCCAGGACGGACCCCCCAGGGGTGGCCATCTCCCCGGCGCAGGCGCGGCCGTAGAGGTCCTCGTGTGCGGTGCGAGCGCTCGCCTTGATCCTCAGGTTGGTGCATGCCCAGCCCGCGCGGCGCTGCAACCACTTGTGCATGGCCGCGCCTGGTCGGGCCCTGGCCCCCAGTCGAGCCTCCAGCGCGCTCCTGCTCGTGCGGAACTGCGCCTGGATGATGCCATGGGCGTTCTCGGAAGGGGCTCGACTGGGGGCTGAACGTGGGGGCAGGTCTCGCGACCGCACGTTTGGGCAGCCCTGCCTCGACCTTGTTGGCCAGGTCCATCATGGCGCCCTCGTGGTCTGGCCGTAAGATAACCTTCTGATGGAAAAATCACTTGATGAACGCCACCACGGCTGCTGCCATGCAGGGGTCGGCGCGCCGGCCAGGTTTAGGCGCGCTCCTCATGGCGCCCGTGTCGGCACCTGCGACAACCAGTACCACCTCCTCGTCCTGTTCCTGGCCATCCTCGGCGCGGGTGCCCGCCTCTGCGGCGTCGGCTGCCCCGCCCTTGATGAAGAGCGCCGGGTCAAGCCCGATCACGGAGAGGCGTTCCACCTCCGCATCAGGAAGCTCGCGGGGCCTGTCGCGCCTGCGCCCCACCTGGCAGTGCTCACGCCTGCGCCGCGCCGCGGTGGGCAGCGCTGGTTCCCCTTGTGGCGCTGTCTCTCCCCCGACCTCGGCTCGCGGACGTCGGGGAACGCGGTCGGCCCCAGCGCCTGCCCCGCCCCCGCCTGACGCCTCATCTCCTCGCGCCCAAGATCGCGAAAATCATCGGTCGCCGTCCTCGCCTTGCGTCTGCCCTCGTACTCGACGAGCCGTGCTCAGCACTGAGCCTTGATCCCGTAGTACGGGGCGTAGATCTCCTCGAGGCGCTTCTGCGCGGCGTCAACCCTCGGGCATGGCCCAACCCCCTCGAGATATGACCGTGGCCCTGCGCGGGCGCCGCCGCTTCCTGCGCCCCTGATGGCGCCGCCGTCTCCTGCGCCCGCGGTGGCGCAGCTCCTGCATCTGGTGGCGCTGGGCCACGCGACCCCCGAGCTTCTGGGCGCGGCGGAGGACCTCTCCTCGCACCGTCCACCATGGACCCCCGTGGCACCTGCTGCGGCGACCCTGGCGGGGCTGGCCGAGAGCTCGGCTGCATCCATCGCGTCGTGGATCTGGGCTGCGAAGTAGAACGCGCTGCCAACTAGCTTCATGTCCGCCAGCTCGCCCGCCCTGAGGTTCACGGCGCGCGGGTCACTTTCCTCGAGGACAAACCTGAACTGCTTGCGCGCCAGCTTCCCGAGGCTGAGCACCGCGTCCTGAGGGGCGAGGTCGTTGCTCACCCTGAGGCCCCCCAACCATGGTTGGCGACCCTTCTCGCCACCGACGACCATCGGGATCCCGCGGAGCCCCGCGGCACCAAGAATCTGGTCGCTCACCGCGGTGAGCCTGGGCCCAGCGGGGTCCTCCTGAACTGTCGGATGCTGCGCTCCGAACGCCTGGCCGCAAAGGCACTCGTCGCTGCCACCGCCTGCGAGGACGAGCCCTCTGCGCCCCTCTCTGCGGCAGCCTCCGACCGAACCCCTGACTCCAAAGACCCAGCCGACCTCGTCGCCGTCGGAGCCCGCGGCCACCGCGCTCACGGTCCTCTGGTCCTCAGCCCCCGCAGGGGCCTGCTGGACTGCGGCCGCCCTCGGGGGCGCTGCTGACGGCGCCCGTGGCTTGCCGGCCGCCTTGCGCCAGCATCCCTTATCCTTGCGCCCCTGCTCCTGGCACCAGCTGCATTGCAGGATCCCTCGGACTTGGCGAGGTATCTGCCCCAGAGCTTGTCAGTATTGACCCCTTGTTGCTGCCTCTGCCGCCCTTGTCGCCCTTGCCGCCCATTGCGCCACCCTCGCCGCCGCCCGGCGCGTCGCCCTTGCGCTCGGGCCAAGGCTGTTGCGGCAGGGCATGGCCCAAGATCGCACCGATCTCCATCGGCGCCACACCTTGGCCCACCGTGCCGCTAGCTGCGAAGACCTGTCCAGGCGCCATCCACTCTCTCAGGTGGGCCCGCAGCGTCACGTGCGAGACCTTGGCGGCAGTCGGAGCATTACGCAGCACGGCCTTGCACGGCTCGGGGCCATGGACGAGCAGCCTGGCGATGCGAAACTCATCGCCGAAATCCCTCCCCGCCTGCATGACGTACCTCGCCACGTCGTTGTCCCAGTCAGCGAGCTGGTCAGCGAACGGCTTCTGGTCACCCCACCTGGACATGAGCAGGCCCATGAGCATGACTGAGAACCTGTTGCCCGCCCCAGGCTCGTACTCGTTCTTGATCGCCCGCCAGGCGACAAAACCCTCGTGTCTGCATGCGAGCGCAACCATCGCCAGCACCTTGCGCTGGGTCTTGGCGATCAGCATGGCATGCAGCAGCTTGCTCGTCGCTGCCGCGCGCTCACCCATGCTGACGTCGTCCACCGCGAGCGCTGGCTGGGCCTCAACATTGTCGATGAGGTCATCCCAGCCCATCAGCGCGAAGAACGCGTGGGCTTTGATGGACCAGCTGGGCCAGTCCTCATCTCTGCCACTAAACTCCGGCAGCTTGATGTCGACTCTGCAATCCACCAGCTGCTCTCTGGGCGCCGCTGCCATGGGCAACGCACGTCCTCAGTCTTCCCGTGGATCTGATCTGCGTAGTTCAACACAGAACCACGCTCCGCTACCATGACGGAAGTTACGCGGATGCGTGGGGAAAACGTATATTGGGATTGTTTCCTTCCAACGCAGCTCGAACAAAAGGGCCTGCGGGCATGTTATGACTTGATGGCGTCCGACTCACTCAATATCCTAAGCAAAAAATGGGAGCGGCCGAAGAGACGCGTCGCATGGCCAGTGGAGGCACAAGGAGGACTCGGTGTGGGAGCTGGCCGCCGGCCGCCTCCCTTCTCTTCGAACCGCGCGGGCCAGGGGTGAGGCATTTGCCCCAGGCTTGTCCTTCATCCCTTCTCGACGTCAAACGAAAACTGTTCCCGCGACGCGGCAGCGCCCCAGGAACCCAACATTTCGATTTTCGCGCCGAACTAGGCGACTGCAAACACAAGAATCTGACCCAGTGGGCCACGATTCACGCGTCGATCAAGATTAAAAACATGCGCTTGATTTCAAGGAGGCTTGTGGGGTGCGGTCTGACCAGGATCTCGAGGATGCTCAGCCGAGGCAACGAGGCCCCCGAGAAATCCAAGTCCCAGCCAAAAGGCTAGATCCTCGAAGCTCAGGCCCCCTCCCGCTCCCCGACCCACGTCCGTCCACAAAATGGTCCCCCCCTCGCATGACCGATCGCGGATGCGCGCGGCCGTGGGGGGATGTCAGACGCCTGCACAAAGAGAGCCTCCAGCACACCCACGCCCAAAGCCGAGACCAAGGGACAGGCATGCGACAGGAGTCCCACCAGCCCTTTGGGCGTGAGTGGTTTAGAGAGCTCTCTCTGTCCTCAACCCCCCTTCTTCCCCTTCGGGGAGGGGTTTATCCCTCCCCCTACCCACTCCCCCTGGGCCTGGACAGGGAGTCCCGAGTGTTCTCAGGGGGGTCTTTTTTCGACTCCTGGGAGGGCCAAAAAAACGACGACCCTCACGAGGATTCTGGCCCCGACGGGGGGGCCGAGTTTGGCCCCTCTGCTTTTCTTTGAAGCCAAAATCATTGATTTTACAACGGTTTTGGCCCCATTTTGGCCTCCTGAAGGGGGCCGCGCTCCTCTTCCTTCATAGCAAAATCATTGATTGTACTAAGGTTTTGGGCTCATTTTGTCCTTCTCAAGGGGCAGCGCTCATTTGCGCTTCTGAAGAGATCGCCAGAGGCCCCAAGATGGCCCCAAGAGGCCCCCAGGAGGCTCCCAAGAGGCCTCCAAGAGGCCCCCAAGAGGCCCCCAAGAGGCCCCAAGAGGCCCCCAAGAGGCCCCCAAGAGGCCCCCAAGAGGCCCCAAGAGGCCCCAAGAGGCCCCCAAGAGGCCCCCAAGAGGCCCCTAAGAAGCCCCCAAGAAGCCCCAAGAGGCTCCAAGAGGCCCCCAAGAGGCCCCACGAGGAGCCCGAACGACTCACACCAGGACGAGGGGCCCGAACGACTCACAACACGAAGAGCCAGAACGATTCACACCACAAGGAGGGGCCCGAACGACTCACACCAGGACGAGCCGCCCGAACGACTCACACCATGAGGAGCCCGAACGACTCACACCACGACGCGGGCCTCGAACGACTCACACCACGCGGAGCCCGAACGAGTCACACCAGGAGGACGGGCAGCGCTCATACAAGCCCCCCACGATGGCCCCCAGAGGTCCACCAGATGGCCCCTAGAGTTCCCCAGATGGCCCACAAGAGGTCCCCAGGAGGCACCACGAGGCCTCATGTTTCGCAAGAGTTGCTGTTTTGAGATGGGCTGGTGGGGATACGCGAAGCGTGAAGAATTCCAAAGTTGGTCCCCACCATCCCTCAAAGACCTCCGCCGCTCGTCGGCCACGTTTGGGGGGGGGCGGGGGTGGATGCGAATGACGAGGGGGGGGGGGCTGGCGATGAGGACGAGGATGAGCGGGGAAGGCTGAATGAGCAGGACCTCGCCCGACCGATCGCGGAGGCGTGGGGCACTGGCCGTCCCGTCCTCGGCTCGGCGGCCAGCGTGATGCCGAACGGCTGCCTGCGGGACGTCCTAGCGCGTCGTAAAGGGTGGGGTGGGGTAATCACGGAGAGAAGGGGGGAGAAGGAAGGAGTGAGAAAGTCTCGCCTCCTTTCCAGAAAAATCTTGTCTCGGATCCATACGTTGACTGTCCTATGGCCCAGGAACAGCCCGCAGAGGCCCCCAATTCATGATAACCCCGTTCTAGCTGCTTCAGAGTCCCTGGAGGAATTGATCCGGAGGGTTACTCATTGGCCCCGGATGCCGCCGAGCCGTCGAGCCTGGCTCGACCTTTGGCTCCGCGCCGGCACCGGCGCCCGGCAGAGCAGCGGGCCCGGACCTGGGGGGGCCCGCGGCGAAAGGGCTCGCCAACGTGTCAACATGAATCAAGCCGTGTCGACGAGAAGGCAAACTGGAGAAGAAGAGTGGGCAGAAAGCGCCCTCGAACCTCCTGCAGGTCTGGCGATGGAGAGGGGAAGCGGTCCTCACGATCTGGAGCGTGAACTGCCCCGAGGACTCGTCGGCCGTGTTCGGCACGGGCCCGGTCGTAAGCAGGGCGTCCCGCATGGGGAAAGCGCTCGCGCGGACCCTCGCGCGGCGTCAGGCTTCGTCGTCGTCGTCGTCGCCGATGGAGGTTCGAGGCTTTGACGCTCGAAGATCCAAACTCTTAGGCGCTTCATGGTCTTCTTGGGGCCTCCTGGGGCCTCTCTGGCTGCCACGGCTTCGCAACTGACATCCCTTCGGCAGTGTGGTCAGAACGCGCCCCAGGAGCAGGCCCTCGGGTCGTCGTGGCTGGGAGGAGGACGGGTGGGACACGATTGAATATTTTGGCATCCAGAAACCTTCGGAGGCCTCCGGGGACCTTCGGGGGCCCCTTCATCCTCGCCCTGATCCCTCCGTCTCATTGTCTTCCTCCTACTCGACCTCAGTATCGTCGTCGTCGTTGGGAAGCTTGCCTGGTGTAGCACTATGTAATCTGGATGTTTTCTTTTGATGGCAACTGCCATATGTCGCGTTTGGTATTACCATAGGTTGGTATCTTGGGTCTGCGGGGGACCTCATCCTCATCCTCATCGTACTCTGCGTCGCCGCCGTCACCCCACCCCCCCACCCCCTGTTCCTCATTCCGCCAGATGAGTCAATGCTTGCCTCCTGCATGTTCCCTGGGCAGTCGACTGCCATGCCGAGGCCATTTAGAAGGCCATGTGAGCGCGCCCCGGGCATGCATGGCTCGTGGTGGATGCGGCCGACTGCTTCAGGCAGTCAGGCGACAGGCTCAACTTCTATCCGACGCAATCCACGGCCGAGCCGAGGCCATTCCTCGACCAAGGTGAGGCCGTGCTCAGACCGTCGTGCCGAAGTCCATCAGGTGTGTTTTGTTTTGTTCGGTTGAAGGGGCACTGGGACACACAAATACATAGACACACATAACAATATTCCCCATAGTTTTTTGCATATTTTAGGTTTTGTCTTCCCCTCACTTCCCATATTCTCCCATGTTTTCCTGGGAAGCGACGATTCATTGCGTCTGTGTGTGATTTCCCCTCCTGATTGGTACAGGTTTGAATGACACCGAGGCCCCGCGGAGGCCATAATGGACCTTGCCTGATCTGTCAAGCGCCGCGTATTGCGCATGACCCCGATGAGTTCTGCGTCGAAGCGCTCAGAGAGCAGGTTTTGACCCACCCCCTTCCCTACAAGGGAAGGCCAGCCCACAAGAAGCCTTCCACGAGAAACCCAACCCCGAGACCCCAAGGCGTCCATCGATCTTTGGTGCGGGAACGTCACGCTCTCCTCTGAAAAAACAATCGAAACCCAAGAAACCCGGGGCACCCTGGAGGCAAGCAGGGTGTTTCTCCTCTGTATCCCCCACCCTTCGCCCGACCCGCGTCAGGCCTCCCAGGCGGCTCACATATTGCCAATGCAGCCGAGGTCGGGGGCTAACTCTGCTCACCCAGTGGAGGCAGTTGACCCGCCCTGACCCTGGCGGTGGCTTCGACGTGCGGTCCTCAGAAGCAGCCCTCTGGGATGTCGGGCCCACACCAAGGTGGAGCCGCCACTAAGCGGGGCGCAGAAGTGCCGACATCGCAGAACAGGATGGGGCGAGAGTACGGACATCTATTCACCGAGTCGAAAAAACACGATCAGATGCCAATCAAGTTTCCCTACGAGACGGAGGAGCAGCAGCAGCAGCAGCATAGGCAGCAAGAGGACCAGCATTAGCACGGGGAAGACAACGGGGGCGGGGAATAGCGGGGAGGACAAAGCAAGGGGAACGAGAGAGGGGTGAGGGGGCAGACGTGAGGCTATCCATCCCATGGAAGACCCTGACCTCCGCATCTGCAAGCATGTTCTTGATTCCCGCGGCCCGAAAATGCTCCGGCTCAAGCACGCCGCGCAAACATTCACATTCGCTCCACGAATGCAACCCTTCCTTCGCGGCGTGCGATGCCAAGACGTGGACGACACTTTCCGTGTGTCGTCCCGGTGCTGCGACTGGAGCTCCGCTCTCAGAATCAGGCGGTGTGATGCGCAAGCTCGGGAGCACGACAAGAAAGCGTGATACTGTAGCCACCCGTTTAGAGACCGCGTAGACCCTTCTCTTGACAATGACGTCGCCGTCTGCCTCATCAGAAACTCTCTCGATTCGGGGACGGGGAAATGCACCGCTCGGTGCATTACCCTGTGCTGGTGCGGCTGGTGCGTGTCGAGCCCCTCGCTAGGTGTTCTACTCCCAAGGCCCCTTCCTACGCGCCGAGGCCAACTGGCGCCGACACGTGCTGCTCCAACTCATCGTGCTCCTGGTTCCTGCACCCCACCCGCCTTCTACCCTCTTTCCCCTGGGTGCCTCTCCACAATACGATGGCGGACATGCGCGGCAGCGATGCCTCCGACTTGTTTGATATAGCGTATGCATGGCATTTCCTCCTGCAAGCGTGCCAGGTGCGAAGCCGCAGAAGTCCTCAGGCGTGCAGGATCGCTGGTTTTTGGGAGCAAGCATAACCGATGCCGCCTCTCCGCATACCTCTCTCAGGCCGAGGCGAACACAGCCGTGGCGACGAGGGATCGCCAGAAGGCTCAGACAAGCGAAGACGATGGAGTGAACGGTGTCGGTATCGATATGTTTTCTCAAACTGGTACAAGAGGGTGCGCTTAGGAAATCCGAGCAGAAGGGGACCGCGCGTTGCCCGCGAGACGACACCGCGCCCGACTACACGGCGGGCGCGCGGGCGCCTTGGGAAGGGCCCCTGAAACAGATATTGGTTTTTGACAAGCATGAGGGGCCAGTGTTAAGGGGAACTTAGAGGTTCGAGGTGTTCGGGCGTTTTCGTCGGTTCTCGGCGGCTCTCCAGCCTCGGGATGCTTTTTCCAGCGGCTACGCCTCGCCGAGAGCGCTCCTCCAGAGGCGCCAGAATCGTCCTGAACGGCCGCCGGAGAGCCGAATTGTGACTCCAAAACCACGGGGCAACGTTCGGGACCGAACGAGGGGGGAAACGTCGGCGGGCGATACATCGCTGATACATCGGCGATTGGCCACCGAGAACACGTCCGCACGCTCCTGGGCGAGTGGTGGGCTCTCGGGTCCCTATCGGCGACGAATGGGCGATTTGGGGGGCGATGCGTTCCCCCCCTGAGCCTATCCCCCCTAACGCTGCCTCTGAAAGCAACGTCTCCCAGCCGGGTTCATGATGAGATACCTGAACACCTATGGTGCGCGCGTGCCCCGGACGAGGCCGCTGGAAATTCGAGAAAAAACAGCCGCCGAGCGATGGGGAAACCCGTTTTCATGAAACCCGGAACTGCTTTCTGAGATGAAAACGCCAAGAACTTTTAACATGTGCCATGCTCGAGAATCTCTGTAAAGTTGCTCAAAGCACATAACAAACGAAAACGAAAATGCCAGAAAACGCCAAGAAGCTATTTCATCAAGACAGAAGACTATTGTATATAACGACGAATGGAACCAACTATGCGCAAAGTTGCACCATTCGCCGTGGGAGCGCACCGGCTACATCCACAGGCGTTCCGAAAACATGTACAAAAAGTCCTCCTGGTGGGTGTGGGGGTGGGTTGTCTCTCGAATGAACAAAATAGATTGGGTTCTAGATTATTCGCATGGCACTGAAAAACCATCTCCCAGAAATAATTGCAAGCACCCAGCAAAATATCGAAACAGTGTCCACCCGACACGCTGGCGAACAATCGAACGAGTATCGCCGCCCAAGGCCCGACACGCGAAAACACTCGGATTTCGGTACTTTCCTGGTGCGCCGCAGGGAACTCCAGCCGTGGCGGCAAGGGAACAACAGCTCCGACAGGCGCAAGTCGCCCCGCCGCGCCGTCGCCAGGGATCCCCGCGCCTCCCTGTTTGAGTCCTGCTCCTCCTCGCCCTCCTCCCCCCCAAGCCTCTGCTCGCCCAAAAACCGACTGGCCAGGTGACGGTGCGGAAGCCGGACCAACGGCCCGGCGCCGCTGCGGAGCCGATCGGCCCTGCCCGACAGGCCCGGCATTTCCGCAGCCCCGCGCCCTGAGCGCTCTTCAAAGAACGCCCCTCGGGGCTCATCGGACACGGGCCCCGACCCGCCCGAACTGGTGATGCCGACAATTCGCAGACCGACTGGCCCAGACTGGCCTGACCAAGCCGCAAGGCCCGAGCCCGGCAGACCAGCCAAGACAGAAGCTTGCTCCTCAACCTCATCCTCTTCCTCCTCCTCCTGCTTCATCTCCTCGAAGGGTAAATGGGCGGCGAGAAACCTCGGCACCTTCCTGAAGGACCCTCCCTCTTCACTGCAAGCCGTCTTCACCGCCCAATCGCCAGACGGCCCTGGGCCTCTCCGTCCGAGGCATCCTCCTCATCCCGCCCCCCCCCCCGAGAGCACGTCGCGCGCGGAAGATCACGCAGGGTCTCCCAGCTGGCCATTTGTCGTTGTTGACTTGTGCCCGTCCTCCTATTCCTCCTCCTGTTCCTCCTCCTCCTCCTCCTCGTCCTCCTCCTCCCCCCTCGACCTCCTTCCCCTTCCCTTTTCCTCCTCGTCCTCCTCGTCCTCCTCGTCCTCCTCCACCTCTCCGCCTCCATCTCTTCATCCTCCATTTCCTCCGTCTCCTCTTTATCCTGGTCTTCATCCTCCTCCTTCCCCTCCTTCTCCTCCACTTTCTCCTCCTCCTCCTCCTCGTCCTCCTCCTCCCTCCTCCCCTCTTCCTACCACGGTAATGTTTGCAGATGTGGATTCGGTCGTGGCTTTCTCTACCAATAATCAGAAGTGGTGTTGAGCCTGAAGGTCCAGCGAACTGGCGCGTTGGCGATGATGGTTCGGGCCTCCAGCAAAATTGGCAGTTCAACCCAGATGCCCTCACAAGCTTCGCGAAGGTGGATGTGCCAGAGGCTTTCCTGCAGGAGCTCGAGAGCGCTGTGGTGAAGAGGCTGTGGCGCTTCGACGGAGCTGGAATGCAAGATGGAATTTGCAATATTTCCCTTCGATCCCTTCTTCGTCAGCTAAGAACAGGTCCCGACGGCAAACGATGTTCGAGCTTTCTCTTGTCATCCACAGCATTACCTGCATGTTCACGAGGAGTCGTAACAGACCAGCCAATG